GATTTAGCTCAGCGGCATAAGCGCCTGCCTTGAAAGCAGGCAGTCATGAGTACGATCCCCGGTACCGACAAAAAGAAAAAAGACAAAAAAAAAAAAAAAAAAAAAAAAAAAAACAAGCAAGCAATACAAAACCCCTCACCACAAAGAAATATATTTGAAGTGACAGATTAGAGCCAGGTGTGCTGAACCTGGCACTTTGGGAGGCTGAAGCAAAAGGACTGCAAATTTGAACCCAGTCTAGGCAATTCAGCACTCTGACAAGACAGTGTCTTTAAAATACAGAAAAGCTGACAGCCCGAAGTGGAGCAAGCAATCCCTCTAGCTCAGCTCCATCAGCTGCATAAACTCAAGAAGTTTCTGGTTTTTGTTTGTTTTTGGTGCTGGGGCTCTGAGCACACTAAGCATACACTCAAACACAAAGCTATACCCCAGTCCTCAAGGAAAGAGCCTAACTTCTCTGCAAGAGGTTATGTATCTTCTTTGTTAGAAGACAGCCTAGTTTCCTTAGGTGTTAAGACCAGGATTCTACAATACTTTCTCATATAGAAATAAGTGAGATAAAACATTAGCAAACTGCTGGCACACAATGAGCACACATCAGCCACTGAGATCACTGTTTCCTTCTTTAAGGAATTCGACCTGAGCTCCTAAAGTCCTTTACCACAGTTCACCTGCACACACAGCTCCCCCACCAGACTGCCAACAACCTCCCCAACCTCCGGGCAGAGAACTGGTTTTACTCCTTTTTGTATCCACAGGGTCTAACAGTCTGCCTGGTGATGTTGAATGAATCAGAGATTCTCAAAGCTGTTTACTAACAGAAGAACTGAGTAGAAATTAAAATTTCCTTCTACTGCCCTGCACTTGAACCTTAACTGACTCGACTCCACTGGCCCTTGACTTTATTGCAGGCTGGCTGAAAGCAGTAATGACTTTACTTAGCCTAGAAACTCATTCACCACTCTAAAACCATACTCCAGGAATTACACCTTTGCAGCCTGTAGCTATCATTTCAGGTTGAACAACCCTTATCCAAAATGCTTGGGATCAGATGTGTTTCTCAGAATTCAGATTTGAGAATATCTGTGTAAACTTTACTGGATGAACATCACAAATTCAAAATCCAAAATGTGAAACTATCACTCAAAAAAGTTTCAGATTTTAAAAACTATATGCTGGACCGGGTAACAAAAGCAAAGCAGGAAGCGTCACAGTGCCAGATTTGAAATTATACTGCAAAGCTACAGCAATAAGAACAGCGCAGCAGTCGCACAAAAACAAGACATACGGGTCAATGAAACAAAATATAGGGGGCAGAAACAACTCCGGGCACATTCAGTTATTTGATTTTTGACAAAGGGGCCCAAAGCATACAATATAACCTCTTTAATAAACGGCGCTGAAAAAAACTGGCTATCCTCATGCAGAAGATAGAACCTATATTCATATATCTCACTAAGCTAAACTAAAGCCAAAATGAATCAAAGATCTCAGTGTTAAAACAAAAACAATACTGGAAGACAAAACAGGTAAAACTCTTAAAAACACAGGTGTAGGCAAGGCTTTCTGAACAGAAATAATACTAAGAGGGGCTGGGGATTTAGCTCAGCGGCATAAGCACCTGCCTTGCAAGCAGGCAGTCGTGAGTTCGATCCCTGGTACCAATAAAAACGAAAAAGACAAAAAAAAAAGAAATAATACTAAGAATAAACAAATGAGATTGTATTAAATTAAAAAGCTTCTGCACAACAAAGAAAACAGTGAAAAGACAACCCACAGAATAAGAAAAATATTTTGCAAACTATTCCTCACTCACACAGAGGACTAACATCAAGACTATATATATATATACATATATATATATCCATCCATCCATATATATATATATCCATACATACATATCAAGAAAAGCCCCTCCTCCACAAAGTCTGCTGAAAGAAGTAATAACTTGTTTACTTAGGCTAGAAACTCATTCACCACTCCAAAAACATGTCAAACGGGGCTGGGGATTTAGCTCAGCGGCATAAGTGCCTGCCTTGCAAGCAGGCAGTCGTGAGTTCGATCCCTGGTACCGATAAAAACGAAAAAGACCAAAAAAAAAAAAAAAAAAAAAAAAAAAAACCATGTCAAACGTAGGCAAATGAACAGACACTTCACAGAAGTACAAACAGCCAATAAATATATGAAAAAAAGGTTCAACATTGCTAGTCATTAGAGAAACACAAATTAGAACACTGACATACCATCTTACTCCAGAAAAAAGGCCATCACCAAGAAATTAAATCATAACAAATTATTACTACAATTTGAGGCTGCAGAGAAGGAACCTTTATACATTACTGGTGGGAATGTAATTAGTACAACCACTATGGAGATTAGTGTGGAGATTCCTCAAAAAACGAAAAATAAAAAATAAAACTAAATTTCTAAAAATAGAAATTCCAACTACTGCCTTTCTAGATATCTACATGTTAAAGTGATACATGTATTCCCATGTTTTTGGCACCTCAATGTATAACAGCTAAACCCTGGAAGCAGCCTATATGTCCAACCACAAATGAATAAATAAAATGTGGTATTTACATACAATGGAGTACTACTCTGCCATAAAGGAGGATAAATGAGTTATTTATAAGAAAACAGATGTACCTTGAGACAATAAATAGTGAAATAAATCAGACATACAAGCTTAAATAACATACGGTTTCTCTTACACAAGAAATCTAAAGTATAAATAATTTCAAGAGCAAATAAAAGATAATAGATCTTTTGTAAATGGGAAGCAAGCCAAGAGCTGGAGGTGGGGGAGAGGAAGTAAAAAGAATTGAGTACATGCACCAACTCCCCAAGATGAATGTAATCATTATGTACTACAAACATGTACTAATAAAAATGTTTTATTAAAATTTTTTTAAAGTTTCAGACTTCACAGTATTATGGATTTGGGATTAGGGATGCTCAAATTATCCCAGGCACTTTGCCCAAATTAGGTTATTAAACATTTACAATACTCTTGCAATGTCAATATGATTCCCCCATTCAATTTCTAGTTGAAAAAAATGAGACAAACTTGCCAAAATTACTCATCTAATAAGAGAAAGGACAGGAACTGAATCTAGTCTACATTTCTTCTGAACAAATTGTCTTCTTTGTTCATTCAAAACAGAAATGACACATCTACAACCTCTTCCCTTGGGACATTACAATCTTAGCTAACTTTAAAGAATTTTCTGTACCATTCATTTTAACATTTATGTTTTTCTCTCCTGTAAAGTTTTTTCGTTACGTACTCCTAGAAAGACAACTACAGTACTGAGAATGAAGGCAAGACAAGGAATGGGAAATGCTCAGATTTGGGCATCAGAGAGAGGTGGGCTTTATTTCCTGGTTTTCTCATACCAGCGATATATGTAGCCTGAGTCTTCCTAACCTGTAAATTGATGTTAAAATTACTAAACAAGAGAAACTCACATATAATATGTAGTGAATACTAAAGTTTAATTTACCTCATATTATGAAGCACTTCTAAACCATATCTCACCTCTCAGAAGTTAACACACTGTATTACTATTGTATCACACACAAAAAATTCTGTGTATTTATCACTCCTTGTTAGGATGATTAATTTCCTTATCCCATACAGCAAGCCTGTATTTTATTTGTCTCTAAATTGTCAAATGAGATATCGGGCGTATATCCATAGTTGGTAAATGTTTACTAAATGAATATCTAATATTTATTGGATTCTAAATAAGCAAGAAGTCCCTTTCAAGCTAGGATTGTCCCAAATCAATTGAGGAGGGCCACTTCAGGCAGTTCACAGGTACCCCCTGAATAGGCAAAAACAGAGAAGCTTCCAAGTGCGGCAGAGAGTAGCCTACCAAAAAAAAAAAAAAAAAAAAAAAAAATTAACATAGAAAAGAAAAAAGGTGATTTAAAATCCTACCTATCTAGAATAAGGGGTCACAGTGGGGATCTCTGTAAACATAACTGGAAAGACAGCCAGATCAGGAGTGGAGAGGAGGAGGAGTGCAGTGTGGCACACACAGTAGTTGAAGAAGTTGAACATAGAGCTGAATGGAAAAAGGGGCTACTGGCAAGCCTCCCGACCCAGGCAGGCAACTTGCAGGTGTGTAAACTGAAAAAGATGAAAACAATTATCACTTTATCAAGAACTCTTTAGCGCACCCAGAGTACCTCCTGTGGGCTCATAAAACATGAAGAAACCAACAAGGTGCCTCTTTTTTCTGCTCCAGTGGGTTTTAACATCCACTTGTCAAAACAGAATGAGAATGCTGACTCCTTAAACTGATACTCTTTCATTTAACTGTTCATACCTGGGAAACTTTTGAACTTTGCTGATTTTGGTTTATAACAATACGGAAGTTTTGCACAGTGCTAGGTACCGTGACAACATTCAAAAATTACTTGCGCTCTTTCAGAATAAAGTTTTAACCAACTTCTCAGTCGATTTTGGGGTCTCTGGTGAAAGTCACACCCTTGTTTAAACTATAACCTTTTTCTGGCTTATCCTCAAACAGCCCTGGCCACTCCCATAAACAAAAAAACAAAAAGACATAAAGTTCTAGCAGAACTCTACGTAAAAAAGGATCTGAGAGGCTGTTTACCTCTTTGGGGGGTTGGAAGAACGGGCACCAGGAAACAGTAACTACACCAGCAATCCTTTAAAACTTGATTTCAAATTAGGACGATAAGTGCACCTAGATAATGCTGGGCACAGGGCCAGAAACTGCCGGGGCCAAGTGCACGCACACCCTCACTCTCACTCTATCAGGACCACTGACTGCTCCTTTCCCAAACAACACAGCCAGTTGTCAGGGTCGGGGCGCCTCCGATTCTGGAAAGGGCCAAGAAACTGATGCTCCCAGGCACCGAGCGAGGGCCTGATAGGCGTCCCGCTGGGCAGTACCGAGAGTGGGTCTGTGAGGGGGTCGCCAGAACCCGTGGGTGGACGAGCTAGCGACTGGGGCAACCTTTACCTGAAGCCGCTTCCACACTATGGGCCGAGTCGGCCCCCGGGCACGTTCCGGAGGAGAGGGCCCTGCTCCCCGTCTCCCGGTCCTGCCCCGAACTCTACACTCTCAGGATCCTGAAGGACCGGTGTTCCTATCGGCCTGCTCAGCTGCTGCTTCCCGGGCTCGCCCTCATGCCCCGGATGCTCGCTGCAGCCAGCCGGCTGAGACTCAATCCTGTTAACCTGAGTCGCGCCACGACCCGGAACCGCACCCCCGCGCACCGGAAGTCCCCGACTGAGAAGGAGCCTCTGGCCTGGGACGCAGTGCGCAAGCCCCAGTGCCGGGAGCAAGAAGAGGCGCCTTCTCGGGGGGCGGAGCGGGGCCGGGCAGGAGGTTGTGCGCCTGCGCGCAGGTTCTCAGCCCCCTGCAGAGGCGTGGAGATTGGCGAGTTCAGGCAAAGTAAGTTAGTGCCTGGACTTACCTGGGGCAGAAATCAATGTTAGGGATCTCTGTCAAATATTTCTCCCTATTTCTATAGAGAAAAGTTCCCAGTTCATCCAGAAATGGGTGACTAGGCCGCTTACCCTCTGGGGTTCAGCAGGGCGAGGTAGTACTCACTTATAATCCTAGCTATTCTGGGGAATGAGGCAGGAGGATGGAAAATTTGAGGCCAGCTCAGACGATTTAGTGAGGCCCTGACTAAAAATACAAAGGCTTTAAATGCTGGAAATGTTCAGTGGTAAAGCACTTGCCTAGTGTGTGCTGAGCCCTAGGTTCAATCCACCCCCTCCATCCCCCTACCCCCGCAACAGGAGCCCAGGCATGAGTTCAAATACCAACTCTAACTTTCTGGCTGTCTTAGGACGCTATGCTTTCCCTTTCTGAGACTCAGCTTTCCTACCCATAACAGTCCCAACTGTACAGAGAATAGCTGTGAGAACTGAATAGGACCATGGATGGTGCTTGGAAAATATTCATGTTGGGGCTGGGGATTTAGCTCAGTGGCATAAGCGCCTGCCTTACAAGCAGGCAGCCATGAGTTTGATCCCCGGTACCGATAAAAATAAAAAAGACAAAAAGAAAAATAGTCATGTTCATTGTGCCTGACACATAATAAAGTTCAGTAAATATAAAGTGTTTCTCCTTTAAGTAAATGAATGATAGCATTATTTTTCTAGAGGTATCCTAGGGTGAACCCAGAACCTTCATATTAAACTAGGCCCCCAGCCCTTTCTTTAATTAATTTATTTATTTGTTTTTTTGTGGTACTGGGGATTGAACTCACGAGCTTGTGCTTGCCAGGCAGGCGCTTATGCCGCTGAGCTAAATTCCCAGCCCCCCTTTCTTTAATTTTGAGCCAGTGTCCACTAAATTGCCCGGAGAATGATAATCTTATTCAAGAACTGCCAGGAGGTTTTCCATTCCATTCCATTCTTCTTTCTCTGTCTTTCTGGAATCAGTGGCAAAAGGCATGATGAAAAGGACAAAGGGGTTTATGTAAAGCAATGATAGTGTTTTCCTACCTGGGAAATTTCTCAAAAATGCATTTAGCATAAAGAAAAAAAAGACAAGATTGAATTTCAGTATGTGAGGGGATCTTGCCCCATTTTAATGTCATCAATCAATGTGCCATGGTCCACCCATTTTTACGTTTGCGTTTGATCTCTGACCTCAAACTGAGATGAAGTAAAGACCTTGACACCCAGGTGCAATCTGACCCACACTGCCGCAATTCCATCAGGAGCCTGTTGGAGGTGCTCTGCAGAAGCAGTAGGTGTAAACCAGTTGGATGTTCATTTTCTGAGGTCACCTGTCCCTTCCTAACTACCTCTTTCTCTCCTAAGGACTGACTTCAGGGCCTTATGCATAGGAAGCAAGTAATCTATCACTAGCTACACTTCTAGCCCCCTTTATAGATCTGACTGCGTAATCTCCATTCTCTTGCGCTTCAGTCTGAACCCAGCTGCCTGATTGCCTCTCCGACACATAAAACTAAGCCTGTCTAAAACAATTCAGCTGGACTGCTAAGCAGAGATGGAATACTCACTCTGCTACTTACTAGTTTTGTGACTTCATCTCTCCAAGCTGCCTCTCTATATGTCCCTATGTATAAAATGGAAGTGACAAAAGCCCTAACTAACCAAATCAAGTTATGAAATTAAATGAACTAATATGCATAACTCACATAGAATAGAACCTGGCCTGTGGCTAACATTTACTGAACACATAACACTGTTACTACACCTCAGTCAGGAAACACATACTTACTGAGTGCCTATTACATTTTAGTCTTCTCCTATGAACTCAAAATTCAGTTAAGAAGAAGCCGCATAGATTCTGCCCTCAAGTTTGACTATTGGTTGAAAATAATTACGGTAGCATCTCCACATGCAGGGATATATGGCAACATTTATAGACTGCAGTGTGGGCCCAGAGAAAACAGACTCTGAATTTAGCATCATGTGGGAAAAATGGCTTGTGTGTTTTCCTATAGCTAGCTCGAGCAGTCAAGATAAAAACACACAAAGAAATTGGATTAATTCAAAGATAGTTTTTTTTTTCCCAGACAGATATAATGAGTCTCAGACAGTTGTAATGGAAGTCACTGATAGCAAGGCAGGAGATGGAAATTATTATCAGAGAAGATATGTTAACGCAAGGGTCTCCAGCCCCCAGACCACAGACAAATACTCAGGCTGCACAGAAGGAGGTGAATGGCAGGCAGGCAAGGAAAACTTCATCTGTATTTACAGCTCCCAGGACCTCCTGAGCTCTGCCTTCTGTCGGATCAAGTGCCAAGTGCGGCATTAGATTCTCCCAGCAGTGTGAACCCTACTGTGAGCTGTGCACGTGAGGGATCTAGGTTATGCGAGCTCCTTGTGAGAATCTAACCCTGAAACCTCCCCCAGCCCTTCATTTCCCACTTGCTCAGCCCATCCTTGAGCCCTGGGTTGTGGAAAATTGTGTTCCATGAAGCCCATCCCTTTCATGAAACTCATCCCTTCTATGAATCCCAAAAAAGATTGGGAGTCACCTTAATTGATAAAGTGAAATAAAGAGCCAGGTGAGTGGAAGGGGGAAAAATCATTGAAGTTTGAGATAGTCAGGGAACCCAGATGCTCACGGACCTCAAATCGCTGAGGATTATGCACAACCAGGGGTGAAAAGAAACCAAAGGTGCTTCCCCTAATGTTCTCCAGTTGGGGAATAGCAGGGGTGCCCATGAGGTGAAACAGACTAGATGGCATGAGCCTCAGAGTTGGGTCAGAGGACAGCGTAGCATTAAAGAGCAAAGCACAAGCCAGATGCAGAGGCACACATCTGAAATCCCAGCTACTGGGAAGGCTGAGGCAGGAGAATTGCAAGTTGGAGGTTTGGCTGGGGAACTTAGTGAGACCCTGTCTCAAAAAATTAAAAATGGTGTAGATATAACTCTGTCGTGGAACACTTGCCTAGTATGAGCAAAGTCCCAGGTTCAAAGCCCCAAAATGACAGGAAAAGAAAATAAACAAAGAACATACTGACCTCTCTCCTGACCCAGGAGCACATCATGGGAGGACCACAAGAACTGACACAGAAAAATGCCATGCTGATGGTACCAGGCCAGGGGACTCCAGTAACTGTGAGGGGGGAAAACCCAGCCTTCAGCATTCCTGTGACAATCGAGCTTCACAGCCTTCATCTCTTGCTGGCCCTGTTAGATGTGCCTTTTTTTCTGGTTCTCAAGACTGGAAGGCGGAGGATGGGTAAAAGTTCAAAGACACCTAATTAGCTGAGCAGCTTTCAACAACTTACTGACTTCTGTGTGTCTCTGTTCCCATCTAGCTTGTTGTGAGGACCCAGTGAAGTAATCCATTGAGAGTCCTTAGAACAGTGCCAAGTACACAAGCGAGGTTCCACAAGTGCCATCTCTGGTGGCTGGCCTGCCAACATGGACAGCAAGGGTCCAGTCCCTCATACGTTTTCTTCCCTTGCATCCTGCTCAAGCCTTTCACCCACTACATTCCTATTCATATTTTTTTTAGTGGCTTTAAAAAATGTTTATTTTAGTGCTTATTTCTTCAGATTTCATGGTTTTATGGGCATGCTAATGCAGCTGGCATCAGACAGCAGCTAGAACGGTCAAAAGACTCAGATGATTAGCTCAGATGACTTCAGGAGATGGCCAGGGCGTGGTGGCATTCCTTCTTGTGATATCTCTGAGGTCTGTATCCCTGATGTCTGTTTTGGTTTCTCACATCAAATTGTTGCAGAATTGTGCAAGGATATGCCCCAATGTGAAATGGATGCATGCGTTCCATATCAACCATTTTTAAGTGTATTCTGTTCATTCCTGAAGACCCTATTCCTTACTGCTTCCTCCAGGAAGCCGTCCTGGATTACCTGTCCCAGAGCTTTACTCTCTGAATCCACCATTCGCCACACTTTCTGTTGTTATTTTGAAATCACCTGTCTGCCCGACAGGTCACAGGTTTCTTAGGTCTTTCAGTCCCCTCAAAGTTTAGACTCTGATTGTAGCTCTGTGGCAAAGTACTTGCCCAGCATTTGTAAGCTTAAAATGTCATAAACACTCAGTAAAACATATGTTCAGTGAAAAGATGCTCACAACACACACATAAAACTAAATGAGGAGAAATATTTCTTTTTATTTTAACAGTGCTGGGAGTTGAACCCAGGGTTCTCACTAAGCTACATCCCAGTCCTTTTTTTTCTCTCTTTTCTTCCTTTTTTTTTTTTTTTTTAGATAGCATCTCACTAAGTTACCTTGAATTTGAAATCCTCCTGCCTCAGCCTCCCAAAAAACTGGAATTATAGGTATGCACCCTCACACCCAGTGGAAATATTATTTTTTAATAGGCATTATTAGCAAATGAAAAAATGCTTTACCAAATATATGACAATGACAAGTCAAGAGTAAACACAGTCACAAGGAATAAATGCCCTGGGGCTGGAGGTTTAGCTCAGTGGCATAAGCACCTGCCTTGCAAGCAGGCAGTTGTGAGTTCAATCCCCAGTACCGATAAAAAGGAAAAAGACAAAAAAAAAAAAAAAAAAAAAAAGAAAAGAAAAAAGGAATAAATGCCCTTTCAAAGCTGACCCAAAGCTATGGGGAAATTGGGGCACCTCTCAGTTCCTCTGAAAACTTGTGTTCTTATGATATTGCTTATATGTGTCCCTTGCTGTCTTCCAATTTTGGCTTCTCTTTTTGAAATATATTTTTCTTCCCATACAGAACACTTAAGTGTTTACAATTCTATAGTACCAAACAACCCCAGTAAAGAGT